GAAAGAGAAAGGACACCCTCCACAGTGTCTGGTCACGCTGTGATCCCCTTCCTCCAGTCCACCAGGATCCTGGGCATACACGAGCAGGCCTGGCATGTTTTCAGGCTGACCGGGAAGGGGACTTGAACTACAGTCAGCACGCGGCCTCCAGCTCTGCAGTCTGATACACCATCGTCAGCTGTGCCACAGAGGCTGGGCCAAAATGTGATTTTTTTTTTTTTTTTTTAACAAGCTATTGCATCAGGGGACACAACTCCCACCCAGTGGTCTTCATACTGTCTGCACATCAAAGCCATCTATGGAGCCAGTCCCCTGAGAAACTGAAGGTCAGAGAGGGCCTGGTATCTGCAGGTGCCACTAAAGCCCAGCCAGGGCCAGCAGCTGGCATGGCAAGAACGAGCACAGGAAGCGGCTTCAGGTAGCAGACTACCTGGCGATAGTGTGACTGTCTCCTGCCACTTCTGGGTCACCCTGCAGAAGCCACCTGAGCTGAGCCTCAGTGTTCTCATCACTAATGACATATCAGGGCACATCAGGGCTCATGACAACGTCTTGCCAAGCATCTTGCACACACAATGGTGAGTAAACAGCAGGTAATAGTATTGCTATGATTTTTTTTTTAATTGCCAGAGGGCATCTGCACTCACCAGAGAGAGAGAGAGAAAGGGAGAGAGCACTCCCAATGGGGCGTGGTCACACCACAATCCCTTATCTTCCTTTTCTCCATCCGTCAGGATTTGGGTGGGCATGCACATGTGCCCAGTATGTTTTTCAAGCTGCCAGGCCAAGATCTGAATAGCATTCAGCCATTTGGGAATCTGGTTCTCTAAACCACGAGGCTGTAGGGCCAGCCCTGACATAATTATTTATTAAACCTTCTCTAAGACTACTAGTATGGGACCAGCAGATGGTGTAGTGGATAGTCACTGGACTCCCACGTAGTTGACCACAGTTCGAGTCCCAGACATGGCACCTTCAAACACAATGGGCACACATATGTGTGTGCCCAAACTCCCAAGAGCAGAACGGAGAAGGGATTGTGGTGTGGCCATACTCCTGGAGAATGACTTCTCACATTCTGTCTCTCTGTCTCTATCTGCCTCTCAGGTGAGTGCACTAATGCTACAGCAAAAATCTCTCAAAAAAGAAAAATTTTAAAAAGACTACTGGTGAGCAGATAGACTCTACCTGGCATAAGTCAGCTGGTGAAATGTGCTGCCCGGTCACTAGTCTGGCCTCTCAGAGCCACCTGCACAGGCACGCATGGCCTGTTTATGGTCTGTTGCCTCGTGTTTCCCTGGCCCCACTCAACGATCATGTGAGCAAAGGTACTCAACCTTCCTAGATAATAAAGCACCCAGGAAGCCAATTTTGCCATAAAGACACGTAGAGATAGAGGGGTGTCTAAGGCAGGTGAAGCCCAGACCCAGGGCCCCAGGAAGCTTTCTGCCCTCCTCTCCCAAGATTGGGAAACCAAAGCCATATCCCTGGCAGGGAGTAAAGGTGAGTTCATGCACTGAGCTGTCCTGACTCTTGTAGGTGGCAATCTCACCGGAAATCTTTCCTCTTGAGCCAGTGGTAAAAATAATCCACCAGCACAAACAGGTGATGGGATTATACCCAAGAATGACATATTAGGAGCCTTTTGTGACACAAAAATCAAATTATCCCTAAAAGCTAAAGTTATAGTTCAAGTTTCTGATAATATACACAGCAGGTCAAGGACTATTTTCATGAGTGTAATGGTATAGGTTCAGAACCCATGGCAAGGCTCTCCTGGCCACGACCCATTTCCCCACCAGAACCCTGATATGCGCAGGGCCACCAAGAACGAACACCGGTCCCAACTCACGCCTTCCACAGGAAGGGGCAGAGAATGCAAAGGCATGGGGATACCCTATTCAGTGCACCTTTTCCCACAGTGCATGGGCAAGAGTGGG